AGCTATAGGCGCCGAGCCAACTTTTTTTTTTTTTTGAGATAGAGTCTCACTCTTGTTATCCAGGCTAAAGCAACCTCAAACTCTTGGGCTTGAGATAGCCTCTTGCCTCAACCTCCCAAGTACTTAGATAGGCTTGTGCCACAATGCTTAACTAGTTTTTAGTTTTAGTAGAGACAGGGTTTCACTCTTGCTTAGGCTGGTCTCTATCTCCTAAGCACAAGCAATCCACCTGCCTCCGCCTCCCAGAGGGCTGGGATTACAGGTGTGAGTCACCACATCCAGCCATGAACATTTTTTATATCTATAAAAGGCTATAGATTCTAGTTCACATATGTGGGTATTTTTACAAGATATTTCAGAACATCTGACCTGCTGGGTATGAGCACTTAAAATCTTGACTTTGCAAAGAGCCTTTATTAATTTGCCATGAGGCTCAGATTGAACTGGCATTTGGAGACATCCAAAGCACATCTTGAAAAGAAGATGGTTTTGAGACTGGCTAGGGAGTTACCTCTGGAGATTAAAGTTTGCTTGTTTTAAGGTGAAAAATAAAACGTAAATCTTATTTTTATTCACACTCCTTTCTCTAGAAGGGTTGACCATTTTGTATTTGCATTTCTTAATTTGTCCAATTTTCCCCTTTTTATTGGTTAATTAATTTGCAAGAACTCTTCATGTAAGATGTATTTACTCAAGAAAGTGGGCAGATTTTCTCTGCCCTACATCTAGTTGCAGTATTGTTGCAGGAAGACAAGGCCCAACAGAGAGAAAGAGCACCCAAATACTGTAGTTATAAGAGGCAGGGCTTTATTCATCGGCTGGGAGCTTAGGGCATAGAAGATTTCCAAATGGCCTCGATCCCTGGCTTTGTCTTTCCCTTTTTATTGACAGTCAAAAAGTTCCACCCCACAGGCACCCTTCCCATTGGCCAGTTTGAATAAAGCAGGAGATGCTAGTCCAGCCCCTACAGAACTACAGGATTTCACAGAACTTGGAAATTTCCAGGTTCCAGGAGGTTAAGCCTATAAATTCCCAAGAACTGAGTCACCATGGAGAGGGCCCTGCAGGTGCATCCTCGTGGTCTCCCTGAGAAGACCTGTTCGACCTGACCTCGCCCCTCTCCCGGTATCCTCTCTCAGTATGATCAGTACAACCTCCAGAGTAGCATCTAGGAAAGAGCTATCTAACAATGGACTTCAAAAATGCTAATTTTTTTTCTTTTGTCAGCTGAAAAGAATAGGTTGTAAACTAGTCTATACACTAATATCTCATTTTGGGAGTATAATTAGATAGATAGATAGATAGAAAAATAAGGAGGGATATTTATCAAAATGTTAATAGTTGCTAGTTTTTGCAAGTATATATATTATAGGAAACAACCACCTTCTCACAGTGATTATATAAGACTTTGTAATCATGAAAAAATAACAGTAAAAATAAAATATTGACTTGCTTTTGAACTGGTAATTCTACTTTTGGAAACTTACTTAAACAACTTAAACCAAAATGTGAATTTAAGTCTTGTGGACACAAGATGCTTCTTGCAAGTGTTATTAGTGATGGCAAAAATTAGAAAGAACCTAAGTGTCCAGCAATAGACAATGTCCAGGATAGAACAAAAACAGACCTCCTGGCTTTAATACTTCCTTGATTTAATATTTGGCATGATTTTAATATGATGGCTCTGAAGAGCACATGTTAAACATTTTTCATGTTGTAAGAAGTATAAAATCAGGTGTCAAAATATTTATGTACTGTACATTTACAACTATACTTAAAATTTAAAAATAGCAACTATAATATACCAACTGTTACCAGCCAGTCTTTTACCCATATGGTTTTACTGACTGCTCACAGCAGCTATATGAAGTAGGTACTGTTGTTATCCCAAGGAATAATGATGGTGGTGGTGATGTGGGGCCAACTGGCTCC